GGCCCTCATCTTCTACGGCACCGACTTCAGGGCCTACGAGGCGCCGCTGCCGCGCCTGTCCCACCAGACCTGGGCGCTCTTCCACGAGGAGTCCCCCATGAACAACTACCTGCTCTCCCACCTGCCCGGCATCCAGCTCTTCAACTACACGGCCACCTTCCGCCGGGAGTCCGACTATCCTCTCACGCTGCAGTGGCTGCCCGGCGTGGGGGACCCGCGGGGTGGTACCTGCGGGGCCCGGCGGTGCCCCTGGCCGAGAAGGAGGCATGGCGGCGGAAGGGCTATGCCCCGGTGCTGTACATGCAGTCCCACTGCGATGTCCCCTCGGACAGGGACCGCTACGTGCGGGAGCTCATGAAATACATCCAGGTAGGTGGGGCGCGCAGGGAAGCTGTGGCATGGTGCTGCTGTAGGAGCTGGGCCCGCCTGGCTGCCACCCTCCACCTCCTGTTTTTAACGGGGTTTGTTTGTCCTTGTTTTTAGCCAAGACACGAATCGTAACGGGATGCATGCTGACTACAGGCTGGACAGAAAAACTAGTTGTATTCCTTCCCAAAGCGTGGTCTAGACTACACCGCATGCCAGTAGGTAGGCCTGATAGTAGCTGTTAGTTGTGGAGTTGGCCAGACTTGGGATCAGTCACAAGTTGGGCTAAGCCTGAGTAAGCTTGGTCTTGTGGACCGAGTGCTAGAAGTTGCTGAAATCTCTGGACCTTTAAGTTAGTGTACAGGAAGGCTGTCCATTTTCAAGCCTTGCTCCCATTTGAAAGTGTAGGCATGCAATAAAAAGGTTGCTGTGTTTCGAGAATCTGCTCTTTATCTGCATTGTGGTAGGACCATGGTATTTCTGTGGCACAACTGATAGAGAGTAGCTTCATAAGCTGAAATAACGTTGTTTCTTTCAAGCAGAAAAAAAGTTTAGTGCTTTTTTTTCTTAAAAACTCTGAAGGATAGTAGATGAGGAAAAAAAGGCATGTGTTTTTATCTGAAACATCTTTCTTCTAGTCATTTCTGGTGTTTCTATTGGCAGTGATTCATTTATTGTGCAAGTTCAACATGTACTCAGTAGTGAAGCAAAACCAAAATAATTGTAAAAATATGACTGTGTATTGTCAAGGTATGAAGCAGATTCCAGATCAAGTGTATTGTCTTTCATTTTTAAACAGTATTCTTTTAGCTCCCTGCATCCATTTTTTTCAGTCTAGCAAAAGGAAAATTTTTGCCAGCCTGCTGAGACTGGCAGGAACTGTGTGTAATAACTGTTTGGAAAAGTACTGGGTCTCTGTTAAGTAGAAAGATAACTTTTAAATTAACAGAGAGTGTTGAATGCCCTTCCTTACCTCTCAGGTTCCGATTTATCTGCTACTAACATCTTCCTTTCTCCGCAATCCTCCCCACCCCCAATCTGTAGCATAGTTTATGCTGGTTTTGAAACTGAGCACTTGGTTTCCTCTAAAGCTGTTAGAACTGGGACTCTAGGAATCATCACAAGGGAAAGAACTTGGAGTGAAAGTGAAGCTAAACTAAAGTGGCTAGGAACTGATCAAAGTTAGGAATTTTATGAGAACTACAAGCATTGAAAACAAGCTCCTGGCAAACAAATCACTTTGTAAAGGTGCCGGTTGTTATTTTAGGTTGACTCCTACGGGAAATGCCTGCATAACCGTGAGCTTCCTAGTGAGCGACTGAGAGACACTTCTACAGCCACTACAGAAGATTCTGAATTTATGACTTTTATCGCCAGGTACAAGTTTCATCTGGCCTTGGAGAATGCCATATGTGATGACTACATGACAGAGAAGCTGTGGCGTCCAATGCACTTGGGTGCAGTCCCAGTATACCGAGGCTCCCCAGCTGTGCGGGACTGGATGCCAAACAACCTCTCCATCATTCTTATAGATGACTTTGACAGCCCCCAAGAGCTGGCAAAGTATCTTGATTTCCTGGACAAGAATGGAGAGGAATATATGAAGTATCTAGAGTATAAAAACCTTGGTGGAATCAAAAACCAGTTCTTGCTAGAGAGCTTGGAGAGGCGGGAGTGGGGTGTGAATGACATGACTCTGCCCAATTACCTGAATGGCTTCGAGTGTTTCATCTGTGACAGGGAGAACACCCGGGTCAAAGAGGAGCAGGAACACAAGAAGTCTCATGGGAAAATTCCAGCTCCCAGACCTCGCATAGCTCAGTTCAAGCACATGGGATGTCCTATGCCAACCCCTGGGTTTGGAAGTGTTGAAGACCTCTCTGGAGGAGACAGGTAATGTACCAATGCTATGCTTTTTGAAGGAAAAAAAGCTTCAAGTAATAGTAGCTGTAACTTCTAATAATGCTTTGTACTTAAAGGATCTCTTAATACATCTCCAGTTACGCTTTATATTATGTCTTGTGAGTGGTATGGTAGTTCTGCTAATACTGTGTAACGCTGAGGCTGAAAAAGAGCCTTGGACAGTGGTATTGGTTAGTGGTTGAATGAGGAGCGTGAGACACCCATAATACTCTGTTAAAATGCTCTGCGACCTTAGGCAACATGGTTATCCTTTGACTGTCTTAGCCTCTTTTTTTGTTTGTTTTGTTTATTTGGGGGAGGGATGGTTTTTGGGAGCACAGCGATGGTAAACCACTTGGTAGCCCTTGGGTGAAAGAAGCTCTATAGCTGATTACAAAGTACTGCATTAAGAATGGGGTTGCCACTGTTCATTGCAGGCCTGGTTAACTCCTCTTGACTTCAGAGCAGATGTTAGGCTCACCCAGAATACTTCACAAGACTTTTTGTTGTTTTGTGTGACAGAATTCTGGCTTGTGTTGAAGGATGCCATCCCATTTATTTAAGAGAGGGACCACGCAGGACAGACAATAGGTTGAGTAGTTTCTTGTCCTCTGCGCACAGGGATTGCTAATGTTGCTGGAGTCTCCCAGGCCTATAGCCAGTCTAGTCTCTAGTGCGAGCTGAAATGACCCACCCCAGCCCCGAGGCAACCACTTTTGACAGGCAGAAGAGAGTTTTGTTTGCATGGTCTACTTAATATTTATACATGCGTTGGTACAAAACAAGTCAGTGCTTGAGTTCCCAAACCTTGAGTTTTTCCATTGACAGTGTTTGAAGTTGCAGTTGCTAGAAGGAAGGGTTCTTGCAGTTCATAAACCATGTGTGCACTTTTTGTAGTGTGTATTGCTAGTGTAACATGTTTGGATCCCCCAGGTTTGTGATTTTTCTGCAATAATTTATGTCTTTTTAGGCAATTACTCAAGTGCATGCAATTCACTTTCTATAAGCTATCAGACAGCCATCATAAAGATAAACCCGCAGCCATAGCAGATCTTGCCTATGTTCATAGCTATCTGTCACCAAAGATTTCAATGTTCTGATATCAATCCTACTGTACTATTAAATTAATGACTTTTTTAAAATATGGGGAAGATCTCATGCACTGTCCAGAACGAAGTTGTCAATATACTCTATCCCAGTTTCTATGAGTTTACAGCTTTGTTAATAATTTCCTAGACTAAGGAATTGAATGCTTAGGAGTGTTAAAATCTTAGAAGAAACAGTGTGTTGAAAATGCAGAATCTATCATTTCAAGTACGTTAACCCAGAACTAAGTTCTATGTGGATATGAAGCTCTCAAAAAGTTTTTATTACATTATCCATCCACAAAAAAGTATGAAAAATTTTTTAAGTGTGGGGAACTACTTTGTCCTATGTTTGGATGCTTTCAAAAAATGGCCAACTGAAATTAAAAAAGGAAAATAAGCCTGAAGTCATCCAGGTTGTTTAGGAAAAGTCTATTTCACAAAACTTGTGATGTTTGTAATTAAAAAGCATTTTTCACAGTACAATTAATTCTCATATTGACTAATTAAAAAGTTATGCTTGTAGGTAAAAGGGGTCCATAATCCTTTGTTTACTGTTGGTTGATTGATTTATTGGAGCTTTTTTATAGTAATACCTTTTCTCAGTGTCGGTAGCAAAATGTGCTTTTCCCTTGTAGCATGCTATGCAGCATCCTACTCTGTGAGAATATGCTCTACTTTTTCATAGATTTTCTTTTGCTTGAGCAGCAGATGGCAACTCTGAAAGCATGGCATGGGTGCCTATGCCACTTACTTGCAAGCTGAGGTACTCCATCATGCTGTGCAGTGGTCATCAGCAAGGAGTTTTGAACATAATATAGTTAGTCCATAATCCAAGCTACAGTTGCATCCCACGGAAGTTTCCATGTCTCATTGAACCATAGTGTGTTATTCTCCCTATGTTTATAGACATGAGATGTGTCTGGAAAAATTGTACTAGGGAAGCTTTTACATTGTCTGCTATCTACTTTAGAAAGGTATGTGTCTATACCTTCTGAAGCATGATCAAGGGGATCTCCTGTGAAATACAGTGGTTTCTCTCTCGTAAGCATCTGAGCTTTCACCATTTTTATCTCCAAAATGGAACATGATTACTTAGAATTGTAGGTGGTGTGATAGTAACATAAAATTGCCATCAAAGCATTAGCTAAACATGCTCATATTTTGTCAGAGTTTGACAGTAATATTATGTCAACTCTGTGATCAATTTAGGTGATTGTCTACTGAGCGAGTCAATTGTGTATTTTGTTACTTTAGAAAACATTATTGTGGAAAAATGACACAGGCCTAGCGGGGTTACAAATGATAGAATATATGCAACATGCAAGGTCTGACTATAAACATACACTGTGACTTTGAGTTCTGGAGGCTTCTGGAACTCAGAGAACAACAAAGGCAATTGGAGTTTATATATATTTTAGAGCAAATACACAATTACAATAAGGTTACCCTGCGCATCTGCATGCTCTGTAACCCTTATTCCCAGATATAATTTGTTTTTAGGGTTGATGAATGTGCTGAATTGACAGAACTGTTGCATCAGAATCTCTCCCTGTGTAGGTATATGTAGCCAGAGCACATTATTATACCTTCACCTTGCTGTCCTTTAGCTCTAAGTGTGGAGACGTGGTTCCTAAATCCTTATGCTTGCAGCCTCACTTGTATTTGGACTTCTGGGCTTCGCACCTAAGTAAGCTTAAGAAGAAAGGCTGTAGAACAACCATTTGTATGTGTTAGGGTATGGGTCAGTTACTATAATATATTGAATTCTTGGCTGCTTTGTACAGAAAATAGCGAGTTACAGTGCTATTGATGTGTAGAGTATCTGTTTAGTAAGAACTAGAATCTCCAATTATTCTTGGACTCCCACCTTTGTGAAGAGAAATGTTTGGTTTGTTTCACTGATAAAGATTCATTTTCCAAAAGTGGGGCGTTTGGGAGGATAACTATAAGACTAAGTGACAATACCTTTCTGGTTACCTAAAGTTTTCATCTGTGGTAGCATGAGAAAAGAGAAGCCAGTGTGCCTTTGATAAAGGAGTATTTTGAAACCATCATGGTTTTGCTAGTTCCATTTTATTTCGATGTCACAGTTTATTTATGACAAGAGAAAAACCAGCTTGTCTATCAGATTTGCCACATGTACACTGTAAGGTGTCTCTTGCAATAGAAGCCAATAATCAGCCAGGATTAAAGATAGATCTGTATCTCATGGTAATAACGTTTCAGGTGTATGTAGTTGGTAGTTTCAGGATATTTGTACATCCTGTTCATCCTGGGGTACCAATTTTTTCCAACTTACAGAATCAGAGTGAAATTATTTTCTTAAAAACCAATAACAGCAATGTAAAAAGAAAAATACCAAAGTGTTTTTATTTAATGTATTTGACAAAAGTCTTCACTTGGATACTGGAATTCCTTTCAGTATTGTTTCCGTAGAGTTCAGCTGGAAAACATTTTCTTTTTTCTGTTACCTACTGCCACTTAATCTTGTCTCTAGTACTTTTGCAAGTATACTCATTTTCCTAACATCTGCCCTTATTCAGTGCTGTAAAAAACAAGTAACTCATGTTAGCAGTCCTTGAACAAAGGTTAATGAATTTAGCTGGTAAGCAAAGTGATCTCACAGTATGTCCAAGTGCTGCATTTTACAAAGGAACCTTTTGGCAGACTTTTTTTTTTTTTTTTTTTTTTAGTGTGGAAGTAAGCCTCTGTTTATGATCCTTCAAATTGTAATCTGTGTTAAAAGGTTTATTTTGAGGTCTCTGTTGGTGTACACTGCAGAAATGTCCCACCATAGGTCACAGAATCATAGAATCGTTTAGGTTAACCATTAACCTAGCACTGCCAAGTCCACCACTAAACCATGTCCCTAAGCACCACATCTACACATCTTTTAAATACCTCCAGGGATGGTGACTCAACCACTTCCCTGGGCAGCCTGTTCCAAGGCTTGACAACCCTTTCGGTGAAGAAATTTTTCCTAATATCCACTCTAAACCTCCCCTGGTGCAGCTTGAGGCCATTTCCTCTCATCCCGTCACTTGCTACTTGGAAGAAAAGACTGGCACCCACCTCACTACAACCTCCTTTCAGGTACTTGTAGAGAGCGAGAAGGTCTCCCCGGAGCCTCCTTTTCTCCTGGCTAAACAGTCCCAGTTCCCTCAGATGCTCCTCCTAAGACTTGTGCTCCAGACCCTTCACCAGCTTCATTGCCCTTCTCTGGACACGCTCCAGCACCTCAATATCTTTCTTGTAGTGAAGGGCCCAAAACTGAATACACAGTATGGCCTCACCAGTGCCGCTCTCTGTTCAGCCAGGCTGGTCTTCTTCCCCGCTGGCTCGTCTTTCCGC